GGTCAGCATTTACAAGGGTGGCAACGGTTCATGTACATGTGTGTGTATGCACAATCGTATGTGTTCACACGCTTTTGTGTGCGTGTGGTGTTAGTAAGGCCTAGTAGACTCTACACTAGACTCCAGTTTTTGCTTCCTAATTTGTATTTACTAAGCAGTTCTTTCCTAGTAGAATGTAACCTTCTCTATTTATTGTTCTTTCTAGTGGCATTAATCTACTAGACACACTTGCCTAGCCGCCCTGACTTCTGGATTTAAGTACAAAATACTGTGTGTTGGCTTGTGTGTGTGTGCGTGTATGTGTGTGTGAGTGTGTGTGTGTGTGTGTAGGTGTGTTCTCACTTAATTGTACTCACCTACCTGGAGGTTACCTGGAGGTTATTCCGGGGATCAACGCCCCCGCGGCCCGGTCCATGACCAGGCCTCCCGATGGATCAGGGCCTGATCAACTAGGCTGTTACTGCTGGCCGCACGCAGTCCAACGTACGAGCCACAGCCCGGCTGATCCGGCACTGACTTTAGGTATCTGTCCAGCTCTCTCTTGAAGGCAGCCAGGGGTTTATTGGCAATTCCCCTAATGTTGATGGGAGGCTGTTGAACAGTTTTGGGCCCCGGACACTTATGGTGTTTTCTCTTAGTATACCAATGGCGCCCCTACTTTTTATTGGCGGCATTTTGCATCGCCTGCCCAGTCTTTTACTTTCGTAGGGAGTGATTTCTGTGTGCAGATTTGGGACCATTCCTTCCAAGATTTTCCAAGTGTAGATTATGATATATCTCTCCCTCCTGCGTTCCAACGAGTACAAGTCAAGTGCTTCCAAGCGTTCCCAGTAGTTAAGGTGCTTGACAGAACTTATACGTGCAGTAAAGGATCTCTGTACACTCTCTAGATCTGCGATTTCACCTGCTTTGTATGGAGATGTTAATGTACAGCAGTATTCCAGCCTAGAGAGAACAAGTGATTTGAAAAGGATCATCATGGGCTTGGCATCTCTCGTTTTGAAAGTTCTCATTATCCATCCTATCATTTTCTTTGCAGTGCGATCGTGGCACTGTTGTGATCCTTGAAAGTGAGATCCTCAGACATTACTACTCCCAGGTCCCTTACCTAATTGTGGTTGCAGGGGTCGAAACTCGACTCCTGGCCCCTCCTCTTCACTGATCGCTACTAGGTCCTCTCTCTCTCTCTGCTTCCTGAGCTTTGTCATACCTGGTCTTAAAGCTATGTATGGTTCCTGCCTCCACTACGTCACTTGCTAGGCTATTCCACTTCCTGACGACTCTATTACTGAAAAAATACTTCCTAACATCCCTGTGACTCGTCTGAGTCTTCAGCTTCCAACTGTGACCCCTTGTTTCTGTGTCCCCTCTCTGGAACATCTTTTCTCTGTCCACCTTATCTATTCCCCGCAGTATCTTGTATGTCGTTATCATGTCTCTCCTGACCCTTCTGTCCTCCAGTGTCGTCAGTCCGATTTCCCTCAACCTTTCATCGTAGGACATTACCCTGAGCTCCGGAACTAGCCTAGTTGCAAACCTTTGCACTTTCTCTAACTTCTTGACGTGCTTGGCCAGGTGAGTTCCAAATTGGTGCTGCATACTCCAGTATGGGCTGACGTACACAGTGTACAGTGTCTTGAACGATTCCTTATTAAGGTATCGGAACGCTATTCTCAGGTTTGCCAGGCGCCCATATGCTGCAGCTGTTATCTGGTTGATGTGTGCCTCCGGAGACGTGCTCGGTGTTATGGTCACCCAAAGATCTTTTTCCTTGAGTGAGGTCTGTAGTCTTTGTCCACCTAGCCTATACTCTGTCTGCGGTCTTCTTTGCCCTTCCCCAATCTTCATGACTTTCCATATGGAAGGGTTGAATTCGAGAAGCAAGTTTATGGACCACGTGTCCAATCTATCCAGGTCTCTTTGTAGTCCTGCCTGATCCTCATCCGATTTGATTCTTCTCATCAACTTCACATCATCTGCGAATAGGGACACTTCAAAGTCTGTCCCTTCCATCATGTCATTTACATATATCAAAAATAGCACTGGTCCTAGAACTGACCCCTTTGGGACCCCGCTCGTCACAGGCGCCCACTGTGATACCTCTTCACGTAACATGACTCGTTGTTGCCTCCCTGTCAGGTATTCTCTGATCCATTGCAGTGCCCTCCCTGTTATATGCGCCTGATCCTCCAGCTTCTGCACTAATCTCTTGTGAGGAACTGTGTCGAAGGCCTTCCTACAGTCCAGGAAAATGCGATCCACCCACCCCTCTCTCTCGTGTCTTACTTTTGTTACCTTGTCATAAAACTCCAGAAGGTTTGTGAAACAGGATTTGCCTTCCATGAATCCATGCTGGTTGTCATTTATAATCTTGTTCCATTCCTGGTGCTCCACCACTCTCCTCCTGATAATCTTCTCCATGACTTTGCATACTATACACGTCAGAGACACTGGTCTGTAGTTTAGTGCCTCGTTTCTGTCTCCTTTCTTAAAAATGGGGACTACATTTGCCGTTTTCCATATCTCATGTAGTTGCCCAGTTTCAAGGGATATATTGAAGATTGTGGTTAGGGGCACGCACAGCGTCTCTGCTCCTTCTCTAAGGACCCATGGGGAGACGTTGTCCGGTCCCATCGCCTTTGAGGTATCAAGGTCACTTAGCAGCTTCTGCACCTCCTCCTCCGTTGTTCGTATGTCGTCCAACACTTGCTGATATATTCCCTATTGATGTTCCCCTCTGTGCTGTCTTCCCAAAGCCCTTCCTGTGCCTACTGTGAAAACTTCCTTAAATCTCCTGTTTAGCTCCTCACATACCTCCTGATCGTTTCTTGTGAGTTCTCCACCTTCTGTCCTCAGTCTGATCACCTGGTCTTTGACTGTTGTCTTCCTCCTGTTGCGGCTATGCAACAGTTTTGGGCCAGTCTTGACTTTCGATGCTATGTTATTTTCATACTGTTGCTGGGCCTCCCTCCTTACCTGTGCATACTCATTCCTGGCTCTGCGACTAATTTCCCTATTTTCATATGTTCTATGCCTTCTGTACTTTTTTCCATTCTCTATTGCAGTTAGTTTTTGCCTCCTTACACAGTCGGGTAAATCAGGAACTCGTTCTGGTCTTCCCATTGTTTCTGTTGCCCTTGGGAATAAACCTTTCCTCTGCCTCCTTGCATTTTGCTGTTACATATTCCATCATTTCGTTTACCGACTTTCCTACCAGTTCTCTGTCTCACTGAATCTCTTGCAGGAATTTCCTCTAATCTATGTAGTCCCCTCTTTTATAGTCTGGCTTTTCCCATTCAACTCCTGTTACCCTCTCCACTTGTAACTCTACTATGTATTTAAAGCACAGAACCACGTGGTCACTAGCTCCTAGGGGACTCTCATATGTGATGTCCTCAATGTCTGAACTACCCAGGGTGAACACAAGGTCCAGTCTTGCTGGTTCGTCCTCCCCTCTCACTCTGGTAGTGTCCTTAACATGTTGGTGCATGAGATTTTCCAGTACCACATCCATCATCTTGGGTCTTCATGTTTTGGGACCCCCGTGTGGCTCCAGGTTTTCCCAGTCAATCTCCCTGTGGTCGAAATCGCCCATAACCAGCAACTTTGCTCTGCTCGAGTGAGCTCTTCTTGCCACCTCAGCAAGTGTGTCCACCATTGCTCTATTGCTCTCTTCATATACCTCTCTTGGCCTCCTGCAGTTCTGTGGCGAATTATACGCCACTGCAATGACTACCTTGTGCTTCCCAGACTGAAGTGTACCTACTATGTAGTCCCTTTCTCCAGTCTCGTCTATGCCTCCCATTTTCTCGAATTTCCATCTTTTTTTACGAGCAGTGCAACCCTCCTCCCCCTCTGCCCCTTCTATCTTTCCTTATGGTTTGATATCCGTGGTGGGAAGATTGCATCTGTTATTGTCTCAGTGAGTTTCTTTTCTGTAACTGCTGTGATGTCTGGGGATTTCACATTGATTCTTTCTTGCCACCCCTCATATTTATCCGTTAATCCGTCCGCATTTGTGTACCAAACCTTCAACTTCTGTTCTAAAACTGAAACTGTGGTCCTGGGGGAATATTGGGGTTGGGAGAGCAGGAGCCCTGGCGGGGGCCTATGGGGGGTTGCGGTAGGGGTGGGGGCAGAGTTCCCATAGGGTTGCTGTAGGGGTAGGGTTCGTGGTGTGGGGGGTGGGGACAGAGGGATCGGGGTGTGATTGATGGTTTAGAATGCTCAGTTGCCTTGGGGGTGTCGTGGTTGGAGTCCTTCTGTGGGTGTTTCTGGGGGGTGTGCTTGCCCTTCCACCTGTGCCTTGGTTATTCTGCTTTCCTTTGTCATTTCCTCCCATTCCTCCTTTCGTTTTTGCACTCTCTTTCAGTATCATCTTTTCCTTCTGTGTTCTATCTCGATCAAGGTACACACTCTGGAACTCCAATTTGTCTCTCAGCCGTGCTTTCTCCTGCAGGATCATGGTTCGAGTTGATTCTGCCTTGAAAATTACTTTGAGAGGCCGTTTCCTTCTCTTTGTGAACCACCCACTTTTCCGAAAATTTGCCACTTGGGTCATGTCACCCTCGCCTATCACCTTCATGATACCTTCAATCACTTTTTTTTTCCTCCCGTTTTCTTTCATCATAGGTTTCCCTATCGGCTTCCTGGAGCCCATAGACAAAAACTGATCTCTCCCTTTCTTCCTCCCACTGTGTGTCCAATTGCGTCCTCTGAGGTGTTTTAGTTCCTTCCCGAGGGGCATTCCTTCCTTCAATCCCTTCCCTAGCTGTGGACCCTATGCTCATTGGTTTGTCTTTCCTGCTCACCTGTTCCAGCAATCAAGGCACCTTATTAACGGCAGTATCTTGTGGCATTTGATTCATAAAACAACACAATATTAAATTACTTCTTGGAATAAAACAAGATAAAACCTAAGACAAAATAGTGTTCTCCATACAAGGGTATTCTTTCCTGTTCCAAAAATCCCGTGACAACTTTAGTATCTCTCTTTTCAGCTTCGGAACGACCAATGCAACTGGGTTGAAACTGGAGGGCTGCCCAAGTTGGAAATGCAGATTCACCTACGACCGTGGCTATACCGGCACGGCAGACGCTATTCTCTTTACGGCTGGAGGGTGGGTGGGTGGTATTACCTCGAGTTCTGCTTGCAGTCATTACTGCAACATTTTTATTATACTTTATGCAAACTCTTGAGAGTGATATTGCATTGAAACCACGATCTGCGAGATACTCATAATAATGACCTGATTCTTGCCCATTCTTGCAGGTTCACCCTCGATAACATTCCCAAAGCGCCAAAGCCACAGTTCCAGCGTTGGGTCTGGGTGGATGTAGAGGCGCCAACAGAACCCGGTGGATTAAGAACCGCCAACACTCTCAGGGTTCACAAGATGAACCATCTAGTCAACTGGACCATGACCTATCACTCGGAATCAGACATTATCGCCTCTTATGGCCACTTTCTCTCACTCGGAGCCACCGTCAAGTGAGTCTTCCAGTATTTAATGAAATTATCATTAGTATGTTCATAGGAAAGCGCTAACTCATTGGGGTCTTGCAAGGCCTGGGGAATAAGAGGTAATCTGATTTAATTCAAGGAAGAAGAGGATAAAACTATTTACCTAGATCGAGAGCTCTTTATGGGCATCAAGGTACATCACCTTGAAGGGAAAGAGAAAGAGGGAGAGAGAGAGACATAGAGGAGGGGGAGAGAGAGATAGAAAAAATGGAAAAGCACTGAAGAGAGGGAGAGATGGTAAATGTTTAATGTCACTTGTTTCTGTGTGATAAAAATGTCCTAAGATGATGTATTTCATTGATCTCTTTGTCAGGCCGCTGCGCCCCAATTTGTTGTCAGAACACAGTGAAGCTGTGAAGCGCTATACTGCTGCGCTAGAGCGAGGTGACACGTTGGAGAATGTGATGGGTCCCTCCTGGAGAAGCTTCGTGAAGAGACCCAAGGTGGTGGCCTGGATGTCCAGCCACTGTCGTACTAACTCCCGAAGGGAGGACTATATAGCTGAGCTCTCTAAATACATCACCGTTGACAAGTGGGTGTATTCTTCCTGAGGGCTTATGAGTGTGTAACGAATAGAATATATTATAATCTCGATCGCTTATCATTTATGGGGTAATTGGATTATTATATCATACTGAATTATAAACTCCATGTGTATATTAGTATTTTATCTAAAGATTTCAATTTTCAGTAACTTAAAGAGCCCTTGAGTTTTTTTTTTTACCGCCTTTACACTTTAAAACAATGTTTCGTCGGGCCTAAACTCATAACCTATCTTTTCTTTTTCTATCGATACTTATGGATAATCACTGCTAGTCACTTTACCATTACCTCACCAGCATAAAAATACATTTAATTAAAAGTACGCTTTTATTCTTCAAAAGCCCAAAATAATTGCCGCATGAGTTGTAGATTTGCATTGAACAAACAGCGAATGAACCAAGATGTATTTAAGGCAATTTGCTTTAAATTTATACAGGAGCATCTAAACGGATCTTAGCGAGCTTTAACCTTAAATTATATCTTCATAGAGCATAAATGATATAAATTTTGCCAAATATAAAGCTAGAGTTCCTTAAATAACTTATATTGACCTAAGATTATATTATCCTTTCTTCATTTTATTTTACTGATGTGAATAAAAATAATGATCAAAACTGATTTTGAGATTATATGAGAGAATTTTACCTAAACTGAAATGAATTGATGCAGGATGATTTTATCTAGGTGAAAACAGCTGAACTGATTAATAGAGATATGATGTGATGAAGGATAACGTTAACTAAACAGACTTGAAAGAAGCAAAAATTACTCAAACATAATTTCATACAAAATTTTGTTATAGTCTCCTTTTGATATTGTAAACAAGAGTCAGCCCTTGCACTAATTGCACACTGTTTAATGAATAGCTTTAAGTTTAAATATGTAAGCCTCCTCTTGCAAATATTTACGTAATATGAATAAATAATTAAGGAGAAGTATTATATGATTCAATATTTAGAGACATTTATTTGTGCGCACTAGGATGTAGTAATTTTGTTGGCACGATATAATGTGTGATATTGTAAATGTATTGATAATTTTGATGTACAAATTGAATATTTTTTTTTCTAAAGAGCAATCAGTGAATGATATTAATTCTTAACCAGTCAGTTGTTTTATTGCAGGTCAGACAAAGGTGCTATGACGCCAGACATGCCAAAGGTGGCGTAAGGTAGCATAAGCGCAGGATGTGTACTGAAAAATATGTCTTATTTATTAACCCGTTGTTTGGAAATCTGTTGCCGAATGGTTCGAATGGTAGATATTTTGAAATGGCAGAATTGCCAACAAATACTGTACCGGATCTTAAAATGTTGGGAGGGAATAATATTGTCAGAATTTATTAAAAAGACGTGATCAGCACAAATGATGCGAAGCAGGAGGCTTCGTTAAGAGAAATTTCCTCACAGAAATAACAAAAAAAGGCACAATACCGTGACTGGAACAATACACAAATAACCCGCACATAGAAGAGAGGAGCTTACGACGACATTTCGGTCCGACTTGGACCATTTACAAAGTAACACTAACAGCAAGGAGAGAAAGGAGGGTGCATATATAGGCCAGCAGACAGGGACGGGAGCAAGAGAGGTAATAGTGGAGTCAGTCAAACACTAAGAAAGAGAAGCACTACAAGGGAGCTAGGGGCCCACAGAGGGTAGAAGCAAGAACACAGAGGGGGGGGAACATAACAAAATAAAAAGAGAACAAATACCCAAGGCAGAAGAAAGAAAAACCAAAGGAAAAGAGGAAAGGGTAAGAGGGAGAAGAGGAAAAAAGAATCAGGTTACGTCACGGGTGTTCTGAAGTTTGGAGCATTTTACAATGTAATGGGGAAAGGGAGGCATCTACAGAGACAAAGCCACGACTAAGATTCATACAAGGAAAGTTGTGTATAAGGGAGGATTCAACCAAATGACGACTGTGAAAGAAGTAGAGTAGACAGTTTTAGCAGAAGACCTGCCGATAGCATGACTGTGATATCTGACATGACAGAAAAGAGCATTGTTGGTGTCGGCAAGCCTAACACTACTTTGTGCTCCCTAAGTTCGTCAGAAAGAGATCGGCCAGTTTCTCCAAAGTACTGAAGAGGACAGGAGGAACAAGAAATAGAGTAGACGCCAGGAGCATCTCTAGAGGGGAAAGAGATATGAACTAGATTACTGCGAAGAGTGTTAGTCTGTCGAAAAATAAGTTTGATGTAAAGAAGGCAGAGGACAGGAGAGTTCACAGGATTAGAGAGTTTGGGAGAGAAGAAAGTCAGTTTAGCACGTGAGAAGGCAGAGTCTATGAAATGGAAAGGTCAGCCAATACGGAAAAATGAATTATGAAGAGTGGAAATTTCTGGTTCAAGGAAATGAGGATCACAAATGCGGAGAGCACGGAGAAAGAGAGAGATAACACTTTTCTTGACAGAGGAGCCATGATAAGAAAAGTAATGAATGTACATGCCACTGTGCATACGCTTGCGGTAAACGGAAAAGGCAAAACACTGTATCTGAGCGGTTGACATGAACATGAAGGAAAAGGAGCAAGGAATTAGATTCCCAGTCAGCTTTTAACTTAATGGAAGGGGCAAGATTATTAAGAGCATCAAAAAATGGTTGGAAGAGACTAGAGTCATGAGGCCAAAGAGCAAAGATGTCATCTATATAGCGAAGCCAGAGTGAAGGTCACACGTTATTAGTCGGAAGAACAGTCTCGAAGCATTCCATGTAGAGATTAGCAAGAACAGGAGATAGAGGAGAGCCCATAGCGACACCGAAGGTTTAATAATAATAATTAGCTTGGAAGGAAAAGGAATCTGAGTCCACTTCATCAGGAGATGAAGTAACCTTTCAATGGACTTCTCTCTGAGAAAATTAAGAACATCATCAAACCCGTTCGATGAAGTCGTCGTAAGCCCCTCTCTTCTATGTGCGGATTATTTGTGTAATTTACTCACAGATTCTGTGAATTATGTGGAAGCGATGACAGTTCACTGACTGTCGTTGATAGTCTCTTTAACTTTCAGCTATCCAGAGACAATGGACAAAAATAAAAGGAGAACAGGAATACAATATATGACTACTGCTTATTGAAGTTAGCTGTATATATGTCCTTAAATAATATTAATATATCTTTATTTCTACAAGTACATGTACAAGGTATACAGTCCTAGCTGACATCAATGACATACTACTGTATAGAAAGCCGCTTGTTATGCAGAGCATTTCGGGTAAATTAGGTCAGTTTTGTCCCAGGATGCGACCCACACCTGTCTACCAACACCCAGGTACCCATTTTACTGATAGAGAACATAGAAAACCGGTGTAAAGAAACACGCCCATTGTTTCTACCTTCGCTGGGAATTGAACTCAGACCATCGCCTTGTGAAGCGAGAGCTTTAGCCACCAGGCCACAGGGCACCGTAAACAACCCACTGCCGACACTTCCATGGAATTATATTTGTATGGCATTATCTGTGTTCTTAGAAATATTTTTATCAGCTTTAAATATTTAAATTTCTTTCTGAGAGGAAACAACATCTTGTTCTAGCCAGTGATTGATATTTCATTTATTTACGTTTTGCTTATTATAATTGCTAATAAATTTTATAAGTTGAAACATCAGGCTGATGGAAGATGAAGTTGACGAGGTGAAGTATTATAATATTATCAGTCCGTCACTCTCGGTGCATGATAAGGAACTGATTATCTAGTACCTAACGTGATGGATTGATTATATTACATGAAGCTACCTCTATACTTCGTCTGCTTTGTTTTCCATCAAGTTGATGTCTCAAGGAGTGTGTCTTTTTTCTCTATATTCAACGGATGAAGCCTGTAGCGCAGTGGTAACCTATCGTTAATAATGATTTTTAGTGTTGCTCATGTGTCTTACTCATGTCTCCTTGGTAATGTAATAATATAATTTGAGATAGAATTGGGTTGTTCGAAATCATTGATATGGGATGGCCTTAGCTAATATAAGTAAACTGCGTTCGCCTGAGCTGATCTCGGTTATTCCTAGAGGAATTAACTTAAACAAATTTCAAATGCTTTGAGGTGTATAAAACTAATTCTTAGCTTTCATAATTGACAGGTATGGGGGTTGTGGAAATATTACATGTTACCACAGAGACCCGCTGGGTAATTTGTGTTGGCAGAACATGCTTAGTGGAAATTACTCCTTCTACTTGTCTATGGAGAACAATTTATGTGTAGACTACATCACTGAGAAACTCTACAACCCGTTGTTGCACAACATCGTCCCCGTCGTATGGGGAGGTACGTAGAGACTTAAGAGTGTAGATTATGCCTGTAGCGAATGTGATAATATAGGTGGATGTTGAAGAGTATTAAAAACATAAGAACATTAAAATGAATGAACATTGCAGTAAGTCTGTTGGCCCATGTTAGGCTGGTCTAACTCACACTCAACCACACCCAGTCATGTACCTGTCCAACCTATATTTAGAGTTACACAAGGCTTTTGCTCCAATGACGCCACCTAGGAGTTTGTGCCACACATCTACAACTCTGTTGCCAAAGCTTTGTCCTTACTAAATCTAAATTTGTCCTACTTGAATCTATTGCTGCGAGTCTTGTCTTGGTTTGATAATTTCAACACGCTATTTATACTCCTTTTATTTATTCCTGTTTTCAGTTTGTACACTTCAATTATATCCTCCCTAATTCTACAATTTTTTCCAGAGAATGCAAATTCAATGCCTTCATGTTACCTTTGTTAGAAAGGTTCCTGATACATGGGATCAATTTCATCATTAATATCTGTACATTTCCCAGCACAATTATGTCCATTCTGTAATATGGAGACCAGAAATGAGTAGCGTAACCTAACTGAGACTTTACCAAAGATATGAAAAGTTGAAGTATAACCTTTAGACTTCGACTGT